AGAGCTGTGGTTCTCACCACTGTTTTAAAAGATAAGAACCACAGGTCATATTCCATGTGTGTGCACATGCTATTTTTTCTATGGTAAGAAAATACTTCGTCTTGTTTTGCAGGTGCTATGCAATATGCAGATGGTAAATTAAAATGCTTAAAATATATCCATGCCTAAATCCTTTTATAGATATGTTATTTATATAGAAATAGAGGTATGAAATTAGGTAATAAAGCAAGAACTAAAGTAATAGGAGGGCATCATCACGTGGTGTTTGATAGTTCCATAGAAATTTCTTCTTAAGGTTGATGTTTATAGTGTAATTTAACAATAATAATATAAATTTTGTTGCTTTATAAAATTATTTAAAAATTTTTCTTATATCAATTACATTTAAGCCAACTCTTAGTACACTATGTAGACTAAAAAGAGATTGCAAACATTTAAAAAGGAGGGATCTTCAGAGCTATATTTTTTAATGAAATTTTTATTCCACCTACATTTGTGTGTTCTACACTTTAAAAAATAAAATGCAAAAATAAAGTGAAAAGTAAAGATAAAAGTGTGGTGTTACTATTTTCAAAACTTGAAGGATATGGTGTGGCTAAAATAAATTTTATATATTCACAGCTTTAATGTTGTTTCTCTCAAATCCAGAAAACAGTAGTGAAGTCTACCCATTGAGCCCACTTAACATCTTTATATATCACAAACCCATTTTGTGTAACTTGTGCCTTGGTCTCTGGAGCAAGAGTTACACTAAATCTAAAGTAGCACCAGATGCCTGGAGCTCAGCTGTGATAATTCACTTAGTTGGCCCACAGCTAGGCAGGGACCTAATATAAAAAAGCAAACCAAAGGAAATAAGGTGTAACATTATTACCAGACCGAAATTATCCTATGCTGGCATATCAAAAGGAACCTCAGAAAAGGATTGTTATATTGAGGAAAAAAAATACTCTGATCAAGAAAACAGGCCTGGCATAGTGCCTTATACCTGTAATCCCAACACCTTGGGATGCCGAGGCAGATTGCTTGAGCCCAGGAATTCAGGATCAGCCTGGGCAACATGGCAAGACCCTGTCTCTACAAACAGTTTTTAAAATTAGCCAGGCATGGTGGCACATGCCTATAGTTCCAGCTACTTGGGAGGCTGAGGAGGGGGGATCACTTGAGCCTGGGAGGTCAAGACTGCGGTGAGCCATGTTCACTGGATCATGAACTGGATCATGTTTGTTTTGTAACCAACATTCTTTCTCTTTCATCCTCCCTCCTGGATCCTACCTTGTTTAGGCATCTACTCTTTTCCACATAGGTACGAAGAGTGAAGCTGGCCCCATCCCCAGCTTCAAATTTTGATGGCTTCTGATTAATTTCAGACAATTATGGTCATCCCATTTCTTCTACCAGTGATGGGTTTAGGAATAGACATGTGACCCAGGTCTGTGCATTGAGATCTGTGAGGCAATATGCTCAAGACTTCTAGGAAAGATCACCTGTCTTCTAAGAAAAAAGGTAAAGGAGTAGATGGTGTGCTGACTCCCAAAACCACTTACGTTGGAAAATTTTTAATTGACTTCATGTTACAGTATTTAGGTATTACCCTTTAATTCGGTGGCTAATTAAATATGCACTTTTAAAGGGGCAGAGGATGTCAGTTTAATGATTGATAAACTTTGTCCTATCCCTTGAGAATATATTTGGAAACAGCAGAAAATCCAAATATTGTTGTTTTTTCTTTTTCTTTAACAAATAGGGATTTGTCTCAGCCATCAAGTTTGGAGGTGGGTATTTAGTGATGTTTCAGATACCCGGACTTTTCATTTTCCTGCTTCTGCCTTCCTAGCTTTCATTCTCGTACTTACACTGTATGGTCACAAGGTAGCTGCTACTCCTCTAAGAAGGAAGCAGGGGAAAGGCAAAGGGACAAAGGGGCATGCCGGTGGAGTCTGGCTGCTTTTATCAGGAAAACAAAACTTTCCTGGAAGGTTCACTCTGAAATCTGCTTAGATCGGCCACTCCTAATCGGAATGCTGCTTAGGAGAAAAAGAGGTTATGGGTGGAGTCAAGTCAGTCTGCCAGCGGTGGCAGCCACACATAGTTACCCACCCCACATAAATGGATCAAGCTAATTAACTGCCTAAAACCACTTGTCTCTTTACTATTCTGTAATTCTGTGGGTTATTTTGCTATGACTTGCAACATGTCTAATCTGTCTTCTTGAATTCAGCTTCAACTATATTAATTCAGCCACTTTTTTACTTTTTGCTTATGTTATAAACTAAAGTTAGTACAGCCGGCCCTCCATGTATGTGGATTCCGCATCTGTGAATTCAACCAACCTCAGATGGAAAATATTTGAAAAAATGTGTGGTTTCTATCAGACTTTTTCTTATTATTTCCCAAACAATACGGTATTACAACATTTACATAGCATTCACATTTGTGTTAGATATTGTAAGTAACATCGAGATGATTTAAAGTATGTGGGAGGATGTACTTAGGTTATATGTAAATACTATACCATTTTGTAATAGGTACTTGAGCATTTTTGCATTTTGGTATTTGAGAGGGAATGGTGGGGTTACAACCAGTTCCCCACATATGCTGAGAGATGACTCTGTGGATAGACTACTAGACTCACTAGGTAAGACATTTAGTTTTACTTTTTTTCCAAAATTGGGGCCTCTGAGCAACTATGTAAATTTGTGCTACATTTGTGCAAATTATTATTTTTCATTTGAACCAAGCATTGTGGTAATTTTTAAATGAAGCTTATAGTTCTTATGTAACTTTTTATCTTAGGAAGAACAGAGGAACTATTGAATGTTTGAACTGAACTCCATATCAATGATAATACAAACTACTGTTTCAGGGTCCCTTGAGAAAAGAGATGCACAGTTCATTAAAAGAAAAAAAAAAGATCAGTGTTTACATTTAATGTTTAGTATTGCATTCAGAATTTGTCTACAAAGACTTAACTGTTCTTAAATTATGTACTGGGCTCTATTTCCCTCCTGTCCCCAACTCTGTCCGTGTTCACAGATACATTTATTCTCAATCACTGAGATAAATAATTGAAGTAAAAATTAAAAGGAGAATTTTAGAGTGAAAGAAAATGTGGTTTCATGTTAACTGCTAGAGGTAGAGATTCCTACTATAGGCAAGATGGAGTCATAATTTACAAAGAATACAGACACAGATGTAGAGTGAGATAGAGTGCCATTATAATGGAGAAGAGACAGAACGCAGCCTCCAATCTTTGCTGATTGATGGATGTTAGCAAACAGGGAATGGGCCTGATTCACAGTACACCTCATTTTAGGATTCTGGATCCAGAACAGATATAGAAAAACATTTCTGACACCGCCAGCTGAATGCTAGTTTAAGTTCATCTCAGTAACTGAAGAACATAGGTGAGTTCTTGTTGAACACAGTTGAAGAACAAGCAGAGGTATTATGTTTGTTTTTCCAATCATATTTGTATTGCTTTGACCCTAGGGTGGCCACAGATCACAGGGTAACAGATGAAGTATGTATACATCAGGATTGTTTTGAGACAGACAAATAAATACACTGTTTAATACTTATCACTCCCTCATTTTTATGATATGTAACAGGATCTTTCTTCATATATGACTTTTGTTTTTGCTAATCTTATTATGCAGGAGGTGAGGAGTGGGAAACCAGATTATTTTATTTGTGCCTCTGAACTAGGGAAGAAGAGGTCATTAGTAAATCTAATAGTTATGTTGCCATCAATTTTTCGATCCAGTTTTCAAAAGTTATTTACAGTTATTGTGTGTAACACTATACTGCATGTTGAGGCTAATTGGAAACAGTGACCAGATTCTTAATCATTATCAGGAAACTGCATTCAGAGAATGAGAAGAACACCCCCGCTGGATGAATTGCAGCCACCACCATATCAGGATGACAGTGGTTCTCCCCATCTGTCATGTACACCCTCAGAAATTGGGGACAGTAAATGTGAATTTTCCCACTGCAGCAACAGTCCAAGATGCTCATATAACAAGTGCCCAAGTGAAGGAAGCACAGGTCATGAAATAGAAAGTTTTCATAATAAAGGATATGAAGAAGATGTTCCAAGTGACAGCACTGCAGTCCTGAGCCCTGAAGTAAGTAAAAGCACATAGAAGTTTGAAAATGAATGTTATTTGGAGTATAATAATCCTGTGCTTCTCCTCTTGGTAAGAAGAATTGATTTTATCACTATCTTATTCCTTTGTAATTTATAGTACCAGTATCCATCCTTAATCTAATCTTTATCCAACAAACTTATCAGGAATGTCCCAACTAGTCTTCAACTGCCCCCACTCCCCAACCCCAAGCCCCACCACCAAAGGAAGATGGGTACCTACAGATTTTTTTTTTAACACTTTGTATAAAACATTCTAGAATAATTGATTTTATCATTTATTTCATCTTGAGGCTACTATTTGTATTATTTTATTTTATTTTGGATTTTTTTTTTTACTATGAGGAGGTTACTCAATGTTTCACAAGTCTTTCATAATCTTACTGTATTTTCATATCATAGAAAATACAAGGGATAAATGATGATCAGCTTTACTAATGAAATTTGAATCCATGGCTTCATGCATTCAGAGTGGCTGGTTGGTTGGGCTTTAAGTTTACTTACTGTTTTGGAGCAAAAATGTGAAAATGACAACAAAAATAATTTTGTGGCCGTTGTGAAGTATTACTGTATTCTAAAAAGAATTTGTTTTAATATTTCTGTCATAATGAAAACAAAAAAGGCAATCTAGTGGTTTTATAAGTTAGTATTTAGATTTACTTTCAAGTTTTTTTGTTTTTGTTTTGAGACAGGGTCTCGCTCTGTCACTCAGAACAGAGTGCAGTGGCGCAATCACAGCTCACTGCAGCTTCGTCCCACCTCAGCTTCCCAAGTAACTGATACTACAGTTGTGTATCACCACACCTACAAATTTTTTAATTTTTTTGTAGAGACAGGGTTTCACTGTGTTGCCCAGGCTGGTCTCAAATTCCTAGGCTCAAGCAGTCTTCCTGCTTCAGCTTCCCAAAGTGCTGGGTTTGCAGGCATGAGCCACTGCACCCAGCCTACTTAAAAGTTTTAGATTGCAAGTTTTTACTGCTTTTGTTCCAGACAACATTCAGTAATACTGAAATATGTCCGTATTCTTACCAGATGAATTTTCAGATCTGCTGCCAAAATTAAATAATAGATGTAGTTTCCTAATACCCAGAACAATTAAGCTATGGATAGAATTTCCTTAATTTTAAGTTTTTCTTTTATAATTGTTAAAAATACCTTGTATCTGTTATTGCTTTTTTTAGTATTTCTAGTATTACAGTATCTGACCTAGAAGAAAATTGTACATTGATATTTTAAGTTTAATATATCATTATTTTATTATTTTTCATGATGTATGTTTCTTTGTGTTCCATTACCTAAACAAATTTGAGACAGCTGTTTTGTAGCTTTGTAAACTACATATACAGCTCAGAAGTTAACAGTGAAGTCTGGATTGTGGGATTAATAAACAACAACAAAATACTATCACCACTGTGTCAGGAATTTTGCTATGAGCTTTATGTAGTCTGCTCATTTAATTCTAACAACCACATCTTTAGGAAGTTATTATCTCCATTTCATAAATGAAAACATTAAGAGTCAGAGAGCTAAACAATTTGACTAAGTACAAGCAGCTCTTAAATAGTGGAACTACAGTTCAAACCCAGGTCTGTCTGACTGCCAAAACGGTGCTCTTAACAAGTATATTATATTGTCTTTTTTGATCCAAAACGTTGTGTGAGAAATTACTTTGATTCAGTGGTACCCTTCAACATTACCAGGCAAACTCTCTCAGAGGACTAAAGGACCAAAGTAAGATGCTCAAATTATGTATGTGTGTGTGTGAGAGAGAGAGAGAGTGTGTGTGTGTTTTAATCCATTTCACATGCAAAGCAAGAAGTAAGAGGAGCTAGATGAAATCAGAAATCCATTAACACACCTAGGGATAAGCTGCAAGTGGGTATAGGTAGCAAGACCACACTGTGTGAGTCCTGGTTTATGCAGTGCCCATACATCCTATCTCACTGTCTTTTTTCCATCAGCATTCCTATTTATGATGTAACAAGGACCAGAGTTGAGATTTGAACAAGGGTACCAAGAGCCAACAGCACACACTTGTTTGTTTTGTGGGAGAGATATAGTTATACTCCTGACCATCACTTAAACTTGTCAGTTAGCCTGCTAGGCAGTTGTAGGTTTTATCTGCATTTCTTAAGTAGAGCACATGGGTGACAGAGCTGTCAGCCCAGAGGCTACATGATCGTGGCTTGTGCATTTCATCCCTTTCTATAGGTAACACTCATTTGATCCATCATATTTTCTATTTAATCTTTCTTTGGCATATGTTGTAAGTTACTAACTATTTGTATTTAATATCTTATGAATTCTGCCTATGTCTCACAAGCTGCTTCTTAACTCACTCTCTATAGTTATCACACACTGTGAGTTTTGTCCGTATTTCAGAAGCTGCTAACTTGCTATCTGTAACCACTTCTTTGGAATTTTCTCCATCCTGCTTATTTTTGTGTCTTCTGTAGTAGCATTGAATGTGCTCAAACAATGTAGCAAATGCACATTACAGAAATATTTAGATGTGAATGCTGATAGCCTATGCTAATATAAAATTCACTTTTGTGTTTTTTCAAGTTTATTTTGCATCCTTGTAATAGATATTATGTGTCAGATAGAAAATTCTCACTTTTCTCTTGGTTTAATCCAGGCTGTAGTTATCTTAGAGCCTATCCACATATACGATTAAACTGAGAGAGGAGAGAAGGTTCAGAAGAATTCCATGGGAAGGAGTTTATAGACGCTGTTGATGACCTATTGCTATCTAGATAAAGTTTTTTTAAAACTGGTCCAGATACCTTGAAAGGAAGAATTGTTTGCTTATTGCCTATTTTCAGAATGCAAATAACGTCTTTTATCTGTAAATGTTCTACCCTTTCAACACTGGATTTCACAAGAATTGTTGGCATGTTTGGAAAAAAAAGAAAAAACAATCAGGGAGGCACCAAGAGAAACAAAATTGAAAAATAGCTATCTAGGACCTGATAAACATTTTTATTGCCTGAAAATCTTAGCTGTCATGATGCTGTTTTAGAAAATCTTTAATCGAAATACCAAAACCATATAATTAATAATCTTTAATTACCAATTATAAAGTAGTATACATTAAAACATTTTGCTCTAAACTGTAAATTTTTTTAATAGAATAAGAATATGTTTTGATTTTCTCATACTATATTAAAAACTGAATTCTCTTATGGGAATTTATTCCTTCCCCCCAAGTATTGTTCTTCTGTTGTTTTTTTCCCCCATACATTATACCAACTAGCATGTAAGATTTGTAAGACCAAAGACTAACTGGGCATGGTGACTCCACACCTGTAATCCCAGCACTTTGGGAAGCCGAGGCAGGAGGGTTGCTTGAGCCCAAGAGTTTGAGACCAGCCTGGGTAACATAGTAAGACTTTTGTCTCTACTAAAAATCAAAAAATTTAGCCAGGTGTGGTGGTGTGTGCCTGTGGTTCCAGCTATTCAGGAGGCTGAGGCAGGAGGATTACTTGAGCATGGGAGGCCAAGGCTGCAGTGAGCTGTGATTGTGCCATTGCACTCCAGCCTGGTTGACAAAGCAAGACTCTGTCAAAAAAAAAAAAAAAATTAAGGACTCATGTCTTTTTAGTTCTCTCTGCAGAAAGAAGCACTCTCCCGACCTAAAATAGGGCTTGGCACGTAGTAGGTACAGTAGTTACGGTACATGTTAGGCTGCTGCAACAAAAAGACCCCTCAGCCCCCACCAAATACAATGGCTAAGGAACACAGAAACTTACTTCTCTTTTGTTTAACAACAGTGCATGGTGAGCAGGGGGCTTTGCTCTATGAGATTATTCAGGGACCCAGTTCCTTCTCTTCTGTTGCTCTGCCTTGCCCTAGGGTGTTGTCCTAGTCCACATGGTCTGAGCAGACCCACACATCCTGACTGTATATCTGCTTGTGAGAAGAGTGAGACAAAGAGTGGAGAGCAAGTAATTTCTTATATAAACCTGATCTGGATGTTTCACACATAAATTATTTTTGCCTCCCATTGGCCGAAGCTGAGTCATGTAGTCGTATGAGCTATAATAGAGGCACTGAAGTATATATAGTCTCTTATGGACAGTGTTTTTTCTTTTTTTTTTCTTTTTACACAAAGTCTCACTCTGTCACTGAGACTGGAGTCCACTGGCATGATCTTGGCTCACTGCAACCTCTGCCTCCCTGGCACAAGCGATTCTCCTGCCTCACCCACCTGAGTAGCTGGGACTACAGGCACCTACCACCCATACCCAGTTAAGTTTTGTATTTTTAGTAGAGATGGGGTTTCACCATGTTGGCCAGGCTGGTCTCAAACTCCTGACCTCAAGTGATCTGCCTGCCTCGGCTCCCCAAATCTTGCGGGTAGTATTTCTAGCTAACACTCAGGAAGATTTTGTTTTGTTTTGTTTTGTTTTGTAAATGGAAAAAGAGAAGACTGAGATTCAGTAGTATTCACTGCCACTCAAAGTTTAGAAAATTTTAAAAATTTATTAAATTGGCCCACATTTTGAAATGAGAATTATTTCAGATTTATTGAAATACTTGAAGAGGCAGAGTGGTATAGTTGAAAGGTCAGAGACCTAGGTTTGACATTGTTGGTAACTAGCTAAAACCCCTATTACATTCTAGATAGATAGACTGGCAGGAATTTGAGACAATTACAGGAAAAATGGTTATAATTTCTTTTAATTTCATAATTAAAATGTACCATTTCAGCTTTTCTTGAACTTTTAAAATGTGTGTTCTGTCATTTTAAATAGTCATTAATGTTAGAAAATAATGTGTTTTTAATTGTGGTTAGAAATTGAAGTAAATATAGTCTATGTTACAGAAAGTAAATATTTGCTAATATTTTGAGACCTTTATTTATGCTTTCACATTTCCATTGATTTTTAAGTCTAAATATCTTTATATTTTATTACAGATTGGGGTGTTTTAGAACAAACTCTGAAGACAGAACCAAATTTTTTAATAGCATTATACTTTTACTTATGTTCTGTTCCTCTGCAGCCTGATACTGTGCTGTCAGTGGCATTGTTTATAACATTGAAAGTAAAATGTAGTAGTTTTCTACAAAAGGAGCAGATATACCCACTAAAGGATATATTTTAAATTATCATTTATAAAAACATACATCACACTTTCTCAGAATTGTAATGGTGAATATTAAATTCTAAACGTGTCTTTATTATCATAAGTTTTGAGTTTAACTTACTGCTTATAGTAATCTCGCCCTATAGGGTTGCTTTTGGTTGTAGTTGACGGTTAATTGTTATTGTATTACTTTCTTTGTGGCAGAATTGTTTTCACATCACAAGGCTTTCACATCACAAAGCAGAGAGACTGTTTAGAATGGTATTTCCTTCTAAAGAAATACCAAGTATTTATTGACATGCTAGGTTAAATAATTGAGTTAAAAACTCTAACATTTAAATTTTCTTTTCTTAGGATATATCAGCTCAAGGATCATCATCACAGCTTCCTAAACCTTTTGATCCTGAGCCAGAAGCTAAATATGGCACACTGGATGTGACTTTTGACTATGACTCACAAGAACAGAAGCTTCTGGTAACAGTGACAGCTGTCACAGACATCCCAACATATAACAGGACAGGTGGCAACTCATGGCAAGTACACCTTGTTCTTCTACCTATAAAGAAACAGAGAGCAAAAACCAGCATCCAGAGAGGACCATGCCCTGTCTTCACAGAAACATTTAAATTTAATCATGTTGAATCTGAGATGATTGGAAATTATGCAGTTCGGTTTAGACTGTATGGTGTACATCGCATGAAAAAAGAAAAGATTGTGGGGGAAAAGATTTTTTATTTAACAAAATTGAATCTTCAAGGGAAAATGTCATTGCCTGTGATACTGGAACCTTCTTACAATCATTCTGTGAGTATCTCATCAAATGGCCTGAATATAGTTTATGTTCATGGTTTATAGTGTGCACAATTTTAAAAATCTTTAATCAAGCCAACAAGTTTGTCAGTCTATTTTTTAACATAGTAATCATGCCTTTTCAAAAATATCTAAGCCCTGGATAGATAGATATACTTTTTCTTACCTAAAAAAGTTGCCCTTGAAGATAATTTGTGATTTATGTCTTTTATTTTATCCTTCACAGAGTTTTGGCCCAGGGTTTTACATGTTTGTTATTTTGTTGAACATTTATTAAATGTTTGATTATGAAGTCATCCAAACTCCTTATAGAATTTTTTTTTCCAGGTTAAAATTAGGCAATGCATTCAGAAGTATCAGCCCCATATATTATTTGCTATATGGCAGAAAGGATTTGCCCTTACAGAATATGTACTGCTCCCTAGGTCATGACTGGATATGTTTCCAGAACTTCTGTGAAATTATTTTAAAGTTTCAAAATAAATCTGGCCTCAGTAGACTTTCCACCCTTTTTAAACAGATTGTGAAGTATTTCCAGAGAACCCTTAAGCTTAGTACTTTGAGCTAGTTCTCTCTTTTCTCTTTTTGTCCTCCAGATGATAATCACATATAAATCTCTCTCTCTGTCTTCATATTTTAAACTAAATTCCCACAAGGCATTGCAAATCACAGGAGAGAAATGTCTGCACTGTTTATTTAAACCAGGGAGATACATTATGCCACATTTAGATTATGAAAAAAATCTGTGATATGCTATAAGTGTGCAGTACGGTTTATATTTATTCCTCTCTGTTATATTGAAAACAAAGCATTTTAAAAATATAAATATACAGATTTTAGAATATATTTATATTTTAAAATAAAGGTATATTATTTTAGTGTTGTTGTTTTAAGCTTTTAAATGTGTCAGCTTCAGTCCAAGTAGTTTAGGGTCTCTTTGCATTTACACCAGGCAACATTTTATGTTGTAGGAACTTCATTCACAGTCACACCATACCAGTTTAACTAAATGATTTCAATGTCTTTATGTACAAATGATGATGGTAAATATAGTATATTCATATGGGTTTCTAGGATAAGAATTAATATCTTTCGGGAAAATTGATAACTTGCTATCCTTTTAAATTTTTAGAATTATCATTTTGGGGAAATGCCTTTTTAAAATAATAGCAGCTTATAAGAGGGGAGAAAAAAGAGTGCAGGCAATATTTTGGGGGAAAAGAACAAATTTTTCATAAAATTTAATCTACAGTTATTAATATGATTTCTAAACTTTTTCGTTATTTGGTCTGGGTGATCACTAGTTTTTCTGTGGAAAATACACCCTTATCTAGAAATAACTTATTTAAATTAGCAGAGAAAGACTCTGTCATCAAGAGGTGTGTAATTTATCTGTTCCCAATTGTGTTTTAATTGCATTCATTTCACAAAGAGAATGAAGTCATAGAAAATAATACTGTCTTACCTCTGTTCAAACTAAGCAATTTTTTAATGGACCTACATTACATGTGTTAGCTTCGGGTCGTTGATTCTATAATCTTTTTCTGCCAACCAGTACAATAATTTCTGAGGAGAAAGTGCTAAATAAATAGCTTGTAAGACATAACATTTCTTTTTTATTAACTTTTATTTAAAGTTCAGGAGTACATGTGCAGGTTTGTTATATAGGTAAACTTGTGTCATGGGGGTTTGTTTTACAGATTATTTCATCACCCAGGTATAAAGCCCAGGACCTAATAGTTAATTTTCCTGATCCTCTATCTTCTCCCACCCACCACCCTCTGATAGGCCCCATTGTCTGTTGTTCCTCTCTAAAGATGTAACATTTGTATTTGAATAAAACTATCCATCTTCTGCCCTTAGAGAATGTTTTCTCTGTGTGGACATGCTTCTCAAATTTAGTACCCTATATTTAATTATTCTTCTTTATTACTTTCCTTCTTTCTCCACCTTCTCAAATCTCATTGGTTCCTTTTGGCTTCTGTGCTATCAGTTATTTAGTTGTTAAAATATACCAATAGAATGTATATATTCTATATGTACTATAGTATTAATGTTCTCTTTGCTTAAGTTTTAATATTAACTTTGTGGGGAGATCTTGTGATTACAGTTTACTTGGGTGAGTTTGGCTCTAATTTTTGTAAGATGTAGTAATATATCTGTAAGAGATATGCTCATAATTAAACATTTGTTCTAGTTGTTTTTTTTTCCCCCAGAGTCAGGGTCTCACTCTGGGAAAAGTCAGGGTCACCCAGGCTGGGGTGTAGTAGTGCAATCATGGCTGACTGTAGCCTGAAACTCCTGGGCTTAAGCGATCCTCCCACCTCAGCATCTCAAATAGTTAGGACTACAGGTGCACACCACCAGGCCTGGCTAATTTTTTTTTTAGAGATGGGGTCTTGCTATGTTGTCCAGGCTGGTCTTGAACTCCTGGCCTGAAGCGATTCTCCCACATCAGTCTCCCAAAATGCTGGGATTACAGGCTTGAGGCACCATTCCAGGCCTTCTGGTAGCTTTTGAATACTTACTTATTATTGTTGTCATTTTTGTTGTAAGGGTATTAGCCTTTTGGCCAGGAAAATTTTAATCCAGCCAAAGAACTTGCAAACTACCATTAAAACACATTTAAGCTTACAGATTTTTTTCATAGATAATAGGAACATAGAATTTTGCATATAAAATTTAGTTTTATAGCTAGTTTTGCAGGAACTGATTGAGAGAAAAAAAGACCAATGTCACCAAAATGACTTTCTGAGGACTAAACAGTAGGTTTCCCTGAGAATAAGATTAAAGTTTAACATTAAGGCCGGGGCGCAGTGGCTCATGCCTGTAATCCCAGCACTTTGGGAGGCCGAGGCAGGTGGATCACAAGGTCAGGAGATTGAGACCATCCTAGCTAACACGGTGAAACCCCATCTCTACTAAAAATACAAAAAATTAGCCGGGCGTGGTGGTGTGCACCTGTAGTCCCAGCTACGCGGGAGGCTGAGGCAGGAGAATGGTGTGAACTCAGGAGGCAGAGTTTGCAGTGAGCCAAGATCGCGCCATTGCACTCTAGCCTGGGTGACAGAGCAAGACTCCATCTCAAAAAAAAAAAAAAAAATTAAAATACCATTTGAAGTGTTCCTTCTTGATCATTGCATGATAGAAAATATACTAAGAATTAAAAAGCATAATTTCTTTCTACTGACTAGCCATGTAAACTAAGTAAATCATCTGATCATTTTGGGTATCAGGTTTCTCATTAGTGAAATGAGAGGATTAGACCAAGTGATCTCTAAAAGCCTATCCATCTCTGATTATTACTAGCATCTAATTATGCTAGTATATGTTAGGGAAGGAGTTAGGTAGGAACAGAAATTGGTGAATTTTAGATGAGTTTTGTATGCTTGATATGACATTTTGTGGCAGACATGTATTATGTTTTCTCACTCTTCCACCTTTTCAGTAACTATCTGGGAATAACTATGTCTACCTCCCTAAGGTAAGCCATAAGTTGACTTTCCCAGTCTCACTGGTAGGTACGGCAGGAGCTGTGTGACCTAGACTCTGCCACTCATATTCATTTTCAGGAGACCTCAATACAGACTGAACAAAGAAGCAGGCACTGCACTCAGATCATGTTTCCATGAAGTTGATGGTGGAGGTATCTGGTTTTCAGAGGCAATAGTAACTCTGTAATAAAATAGCTCTGCTGATGCAGAAATGGTATTGGTGCTGGGCCACTAACAGTTGCAATAGAGAAAAGTCCTTGGCAGAAAAGAATCCAGTGAGAACAGCAGCAGGTTCTCCTCACCCAACCAATTCTGTAGTATGGTTTTTAGACTTCATTCTTGAGAAGCTTAACCATTAACTTGGTTCTTTATTCATCCCTATTCCTTTAATAAATTACTATTCCACTTAATGAGTCAGTTAGCTTCTGTTGTTTTCAAATAAGAATCGTGAAATAGCCATATGGTTTACTATTAACTTGCTTTAGTACTGTCTTATGCCAAACTCAGTAGCTAGAACGTTGTCAGTTATCCTTCCTACCATGGTATATATCCCTCTCATAATTTGAACTCTTCTTACATACTCAGCTTTGTTCAGATGGCACTCTTTCTTAGCATATAACTCCAATTAATTTCTTCACTTGGATTTTTGGTACTATATTACTCTCTGTAACAGTTGCATAAAGCAGCCTTTCCCTTTTTCCTCATCCTGGTTTTACGTCTAATTGCAGCTTATTAGATTTGTTAATGTTATTATATTTGATTGATTAATAATGAAACTTTATTCTTTCTCTCACAAACATACACACAACCCTTCCTGTACAAACAGTACTTAATTAGCCTGATCTCTTCGGAGTGGCTAGCGATAATAATAGTGAGGCTACCTACACATTGGACAGTTCTCATAATATAGGAATCTTTATTAAATCATTGGTTTACTTTAAATAATATGTATGGTTTTTGGTGAGTTGCCTTTTAGGAAAACTGATATTTGACAAAGCTGTGTTGTGTTTCATCTTGAAATAAGGTTTTCTACATTAATAGATGAGCTGCAGGCGTACCTATTAAGTTTTTTTTCTGTAGACAAATGGTTCTCAAAGTGTGATTCCTGGACCAATAACATCATCACATAGGAACTTGATAGAAGTGCAGATTCTCAGTCCCTCTCTGAAACTTTCTGAATTAAAAAAAAAAATGTGAGGGTAGGGCCCAGCAATCTGTATTTTAACAAGCACTGTACATTATTCTGATATACATTAAAGTTTGTGAATCACTGCTTTTGACCAGGGTTTGCAAACTATGACTTGTGAGTCAACTCTGGCATGTAGCCTGCTTTGGTAAGGTCTGTTGCTCCTCTCTGCAAAAGCAGCATAGATTACCACTCTGTTCAACTCAGGTGTGGCCACATGACTTGCTTTTATCTTTTGCTCATAACCTTTAAGAATCAGAATAATGCTTTCACTATTACGGAAGCATGTGTGGAAATGGAGCCTCTTTGAGCTT